TCCTCCCACGTTGCGTCGCGGCGAACCTTCCACGTATGTATGTATGTAATCACTTGGCGACGATGCATCGATTTCCACGGCGGACGAACGATCGGACGATCGGAGGGAGCGATAGACGGGGACGGCGGACGAAAGAGGGTGCGGGCACGGGCAGTGGGGGGCAGGATAGAAGGAAAAGGCGGAGAGTGAAGGGAGGATACCCGAGAGGCCTTCGAGATCAGGTTATGCTAACTGGGGCCCGTTCGTCCCACACGTATCTACTTATAAGCGCACGTACGCGGTTACACGGACGGCGGCGCGGCCGTGGTGTGCGTGGCAGCCACGGGCGACACAGGCAAACGCGTCTGTACCTGAATACGTGGAAACGCGAGAAGTACGACGAACCGCGCGCAGCTACCTTTGCCGAATCGTTTCTCCGCGTCGGCAAACCGGCTGAAAAACAATAAGACGAACGCGCGAAGGTAGAGGGAGAGCGGAGAGAGCGTCCCGCTTTGCGCGACGAGAAAGGCCGGTCGCGCGCGATCGGTTAGGGCCGCGGGCACACTTTTCGCGCGCCGACTCTCAATTTTTCCAACGACGCCGCGCACCGTTTCTTTCCGGTGAACAACCCAAATCCACCGGTTCTCGGAAACGATCGCGGCAAAGACGAGTGCGCCGCAATTCGCAATCTTTTCGATATCGAAACCAATCCACATAAATCGATGTACGCGTGTTCCAGATCTGGCGGACGCTAGCCTGTTCCAACAAGAGGGAGTCACCACGTATTCCCAGTTGCTGTTCGACGTCGCTAGACAGCAGGTGGTCGTCGGGGCACGGTACGTAGGTCGTCGCTGGACGAAAAGCGGCAGGACCCTGAAGGCCGAACGCGGAAGCGCGGCGAGTACGGGCGAGTACGGCGAATCGAGAGCGATCGCGGGATTGGAACGCGAGTTGGCCACTCGCCAGCTCCTCGTCTCTCTCTCTCTCTTTCCCCTCGGAGAACGAAACGCGTCGTGTCGCGCCACGTCCACCAGTTTTTCCGAGGTTCGCGAACCAGACGCGGTCTCCGCGTTTCTTCGCCAACTCTCTGGCCGCCGGCCAAACTGCTCGAGTTCGAGCCGACCGATAAAAATACGCTTCCCACCGCCGCCGAACCGAGGGAAATCGCGACCGGGTTTACGATCCGGCGAGGAAACCGCGATTCCCGATGGTCGATTCGGTCGATTTTCGCGATCCGATTGGAAAGGAGCGTACGCCCTCGTGTTCCTTCTATTAATAGAACGCTAGTTATTAACCACGGCCCACGTACACAGACGCCGCGACCGACTACATATTTAGTCGAGGGAAGGCGCGCGCGCGCGCCGCTCCTCCATCCTGCTTCGGTATTGCTCGAAAAACAGAGATGCCAACTTTCGCCTCTCGTCGGAGACGAATCTCGACCGGAGGGAAAGCTGGCTGCGTGCACGCGACACGGCGCACGGTCTTTCCGAACCGATCGTTGGAAATATTTTCGTTTAAATTCAAATTCTAGGACGTTTCCTTATCGAAGGAAAGACCGAATCCTTATCGCCAACTTGAAAATGGAATTACGGAAAATGTAGGAAAAATTAGCGCTCGATAGTTACAGAATCCAAAGAACTGAGCTGGAACTGCGAGATTTTCGGTTTTGCGCAGCGAGACAGCTGTTTTGAAACACCGTGCGGCGCCACGATTTGCATTCCACTAGTTGGATTGCCGTGGTCGGGAACCGTGACGTCAGCGAATCTCTCGCGCGGCGAGTCGCGGCTCCTTTCCAGGGTATCGAGCTTATCGCGGCTGGTATCTTTCACGCGCGACATCGCTCCACTTGGATATTTCCTGGCATGCGAAAACAGTCCTGCTGCTCGCTCAGCCGTACGGAGGCCGTCCAACTCCGGTGGACAAGCGACAAACCGGCCGGCAGGCAGCAATGCCTACCGAATCGTTCGATCAACATTCGTAGGGAGAGAAAGAGGTCGCCGAACGACGTCGTTCATCCCATTCGTTTAACGAGCAGGAAGCAATCTGTCTGAATGGGTACTGGCCAAATAACAGCGGCATAATCATCTCCTCCGTACGGACCAGCATCTCAGTTCGCGCGCGCGTTTTCTCCCGGAGCCGGTGCGCTCGAATAACGATCGCTTTTGGTCAGAGCAGTCGCGGCGAGGCGCCCACGTAGGCGCCGTTTATGCTTCGCTGCGAATTTCCTGCGGCGTGATTGCGCGACAGTCCTACGGAAAGGGAAACGAATCGATGCCGTTCCAGGGACAACCTCTATCGGCTGACTCTGGCGTCGTTGTCGCCGCTCGAGCATGCCTCTTGGCCCGCGTCCGATGAGAAGAGCAACACCTGCCAGAACAAGGGCCAGAGCGACGAGGATTGCCGCAACTACGTGAAGGTGTTGCTCAGCAATGGCAAGAGCCTGTTCACCTGCGGCACCTACGCCTTCAGCCCTTGGTGCACTTGGAGAGAGGTCGGTATACGCCGTATATCGGCTCGAGTATAGATTCGAACGTAAAGATTGGCGGCGTGATTGGCGATTGGCAGATCGAGAATATCAGCAGCGTGACCAACGAGATGTCCGGCATCGCGATGTGCCCTTACTCTCCACGCGCCAACGTCACCGCGCTTTTGGCCAGAGGTCCGACCGGCGGTCTCTTCACCGGTGCGCCCACGGACTTCTCCGGCGCTGACCCAGCCATCTGCAGGACCCTCGCCACGCCTAATCTTCGGACGCACCAGTACGACTCCAGGTAAGTGCCAGGTAAGTCCCTGACGTCGATCCTTTTCACGCACCACCCTCGCCATTTTCAGGTGGCTCAACGACCCGCAGTTCGTCGCCAGCTTCGAAACGGAAGACCACGTCTACTTTTTATTCCGCGAATCGGCCGTCGAGTACATCAACTGCGGCAAGGTAATTATCCTTACACCCTAAAAATAACCCCTATTGAGGAACTCCGAAACCCCTCCGTCCGCAGAAAGTCTACTCGAGAATAGCCAGAGTCTGCAAGAACGATCGAGGCGGTCAGATCATGATGAGAGACGTTTGGACCACCTTCAGCAAGGCTCGCCTCAACTGCTCCCTCCCCGGAGAATTTCCCTTCTACTACGACGAGATTCAAGGTGCGGTCTACCATCCGGAAGAGGGCATCGTTTACGCGACCTTTACCACGCCCATGTGAGTAGAAGCGAACGATAAGTGCGATGGGACGACGTCCGTTCACTGTTTCTTTTCCCCCATGTCTGTGCCCCGCGTTCTCGGACGGTAGGTAAAATTCTTCTACTGCTCCCGTTCCTCCCGTTCCTCCCGTTCCTCCCGTTCCTCCCGTTCCTCCCGTTCCTCTCGGAACAAGGCAGAGCGAAGCGCGACGGTGGCTAGTAAAGTGGCGGCGGGTCGCCGCCGCGTATTTTTAGCAACGGCATCGCCGGCTCATCGATTTGCGCGTTCAACATGTCCGCGATCACCGGCAGCTTCAACGGGCCGTTCAAACACCAAGAGAATTCGGGCGCTGCCTGGGAGAGGAGACCCGTCTCCCATCATAATCGACAGCGGTGCGGCTCCTCGGCAGATGTCGCTCCCCATCAGATCGTGGACAACCAGCGGTACCAATTGATGGACGACGCGGTCCAGAGCACCACGCTCGAACCTCTCCACACCGCGATACACGAGAGGTTCACGTTGATCGCCCTCGATGTCACGCCCACTAAATTGCATCGCGGCGTCACGGTCCTCTACGTCGCCACTGATCTTGGCCTGATTAAAAAGATCTCGATACTGCCTCGCACCCAACAGACCTGCATCGTCGAGGTCTGGGGACCTTTGCCCTCCACGCCCCTCACCTTGCAGTTCCTCAAGGACACGCAGAGTCTCTACGTCGGCATGGAAGTCGGCCTTTTGAGGTATCTCGAATCGTATCAGAGGCGAAAGAGCAACCGCAAATTATAATACTTTCTCGTTCTCGGCAGAGTACCAGCAGTCCAGTGTCATCGACATCGCAGTCGTCAAGCTTGCTTGAACGCTCAAGAACCGTACTGCGGATGGGACGAGCTTCTGATGATGTGCGCACCTGCCCCGAAGCGAAATCATCTGGCCAATCACTGGCACCAAGAGGTAACAAAATGTCCCGTTCTCACGGATCCTGTGGACGGCGGATGGAGCGCTTGGAGCTCTTGGTCCCCCTGCCAACACGGCGCCGCCACGGAACAACCTCATTCTCTCCATTCTCATTATTATTCCGAGCAGACGGAGGTAAATCCGGTAAATCCGGAGGTAAATCTATCTACCTCTTCTCCTCCCTCTTCTTCTTCTTCGTTCACGCGTAGATCGGGGACACTTGTCTGTGCCAAACGCGAGAATGCAACAATCCTCCACCGCGACACGACGGCGCCAATTGCTCGGGCGCCAGGGTCAGAGTGGCCAACTGCACGGTTCACGGTGGCTGGACAGCCTGGTCGGCCTGGTCGGCGTGCTCGCAAACTTGCGGGTTCGCGATGAAAACGAGAAGGCGGTCCTGCACAAATCCTGCTCCCGCTTTCGGAGGACGAGTCTGCGTAGGCCACGACCACGACGACATCGTCTGCATAGATCTACCACCCTGTCCCACGCCCGCCAAGGCAACTCCGCTCCCGCAAACTGGCCAGTGGTCCTCCTGGGGCGCTTGGAACTCTTGCTCCCGACCATGCAACGCCGGTAACTTGGATACTACTCGATTCTCGCGACAACGTCCTCTACCTCTGTTCCTCTTCTTACACAGGAATGCGTATACGAAGGAGAAGCTGCGAAAGTTCGTCGCAGCGGAAGGCCTCCACCGTCGAGTGCAACGGGTGCGACTTTCAGGTACACAGGCCCGACCCCACCGGACTATACGCTACTATTGCAGTTTCCTATTCCTATTTCCTCTTCTCTTCAGGTGGAGGAGTGCAACACTCATCAATGCGTCGAGACGAAGAGGTACTCTGGCTGGACGCCCTGGTTGGCAGCTAACGCCAGCCTCCAGAACGGAAATATCGGCTACGTGGAGAAGCGATTTCGTTTCAGTTGCTGCAGGAACGACGGATCCTGCATGAGGGGAAACGCGAATCAGAACGCGTACGGGGAGCTCGGCACGGGGGAGACTGGATGGAACGAGTGGTCCTCCTGGTTGCCGTGCGATCGCCCTTGCGGAGGAGGTTCCCAGCACAGAGTGAGACAATGCGAATCGTCGCCCTGCGACGGCGTGTCGCGTCAGACTAGGCTCTGCAACGTACAGCCGTGTCGGGCAAGCGGGACGGGAAACGGCGGTCCCGACGCGGAAGGGCAATGGTCGTGCTGGACGGATTGGTCCGAGTGTTCGGCCTCGTGTGGGATCGGTGTACGCACCAGAACGAGGGAGTGCTTGGGTCCGGAGAGTTGCGAAGGGCCGCGACTTGTCAGAGAGACTTGCGAGATGCCCAGCTGCGAGTCCCTGCAAGGTTGGGACAGTTGGTCCCGCTGGACGTCCTGCGACGACGACCATCAGCAGCACCGGAAGCGGCAGTGCCTTCAGCATGGGAACGGAATGTGTCAGGGACCCGGCAGGGAGACTCGCGACTGTTTGCCCGATTGCACCGACAATGGTGTGTCTCTTTTTTTTCTTTTCCGCAACCCTTTTCGCTAACCCTTTCGTGACACCTTCGATTCCTTTCAAGACGTGAACGCCCTAAGGTCCAGCGTGGAGAGCTCAGGCGTGACAATTGGAGCGGTGGTGGGCAGTTGCGTGGCCGGGTTTCTGGTCGGGTTGGCCGTGACAACGGTGTTGAGTTTCTGCTACCTGAAGCGGCGACAGCAACGAATTCCCGGCAGTCCGCACTACATCACCAAGCAGAATCCTTACGTGACAGTCCCGTTGAAAGAGGTGAAAAACAGTTTGGTGGTTCGTATACGTTTGTAAAACGAGTTCTATTGTTTCCGTTGCACGCAGGTGAACGCCAAGCGACAGCCCAGCTTCTCCGGTAGCACGAACGGTACCGGGACTCTCCGCGGCAAGAACAATCCGAACGTGAACGGCCTGGGAAGTCCGAAACCGTATCCGAAGAGCCTCGACTACGAGTCCGCTACCCTGAAGCGCAACAGTCACGGGCAACAGCACATTCGAGTCGATTTGGATCAAGACAAATATTACTGACGACGGATCGACAAACACAGGAGCAAGTTCGTTAATCGACCTTTCCGCCATGAAGGCGAGCGAACTGTCAGGCGAGATCCGTCTCTGCCGCGACCTCGGTGCGCACGCGGAATTCTTTCTTTATTTTAAAAGGCAGACGCACGATGCCTGTCGGTTTTGCATCGAACGATATAGTGCCATCGCGAAGTCTCGTTGAACGTGACATGGGAACGGACGAGAGTGTAATGTGTATGTATGCGAGAGTGCGTACGATTGTGCATTCGTCGCACACGTCGCGTCGATCGAATCTTTTTATTTTATTGGCTCACATTGAGTCGCGGCCACGCGTCGACTCGAACGCGCGAACAATAGCCGAGAAGGAGGATGCGAAACGAGCGCGAACGGACGACGTTTTACGACTGAACAATTTTTTCGC